AAACCAGGAAGAGTCTAAATTTATTTCTTTGTTTAAACTCTATTGATTCAGATGTAGCTTGGAATCTCCATTAAGGGTTCTGGGGCTTACACCCCACTCCTTGCATCATAACATCTTAGACTGGTGTAACTTTTATGATACTCAAATAGCTATAATTTATTTAGTTTTTTATTTTAATCACTTACTGAGGTGGGTTTTTTCCATGTACCAAGATGCAGATTGCATTTTCATTACAATTATGAACTACTTTTGCTTTCACAATCAATAGGTGCCATATTTCTTAGTGAGGTAAAAATCTCACTCAAGCAGTGTTGAGTTGGACAGGATGGGGAGCTGCCTAGTGGGATTTTTCCTGAAGATGTAAATCAGAAAGGATAGATGTGATATTTGCTTTTTTTTTTAATGTATGTATGACTGCAGGTCTATTTTCCTAGTTTGGGTGCTTATTATAAATATAACCTTCATTCATTTCTTTAGAATAGTCAGGTGAAGGGAAACTGAATTAAATCTTACTGTGTCTCTATCATAGACCTCTTATTTTGTAGCTGATTGCTGTGATTCCTGGGGATTTATGTAACAATTCCTCAGCTGGACAGGGGAGAGAAAATAGAGTGGAAGGTTCATGGGTCAAGGTAAGGATAGGGGGAGAGATCATTCACCAGTTACTGTTTCAGGCAAAACAGGCTTGGGAAATCGGCTTAATTTATTACCAATCAAATTAGGGTAGGATAATAAGAAATAATGAGGCTACAGAGGAATCTGTGCTCTGGAGCATCTCTTCGAGGAGCTTCTCACAAAGCCACCCTTGTTAACCTCCCCCAACTTAGCCACACAAACCCAATACACATAGTGCTCTCTCATATTATCTAGAATTTTTTTTAAAATTCCCTCATGTTTGTGACAGATACTTGTAATTAAGTTTCAAGATAATAACACTTGTGCAGGAGCCACAGGATTTTTTTTGGTATGTATAATACAAAGCTGTGCATCAGACATCAATTCTATATATTGTATGTTTATCTTGGCATACGCAGGATGTGATGTTCAATATTCAACATACAGAACCTAACCTTTACTAGATTTTATTAGATGCTTAGAAGGAAAAGAATGGCCTCTCAATATTTAAAGAATTATCACTTTGTTACAAAGCAAGCTTCTCAGTAGCTTTGAAAAACAGTGCAAAAAGTTACTTATGTTTAAAAGTATTGTTTTCTTAACAAGTACTCCAGCCTTTTTATCTGGCCTTTGTCGAATATGTTATTGGATTGTCCAACAAATCAATACAGTTCAAATAACAAAAGCAAGCATTTTCTATTTCACAGGTATTGCAAAATAACGCACTTTGGTTAGGAAAGTATGTTTGCAAAAGTCCCATGAAAGCAGCTTTTAGTAATGTTACACATCAAAATAACAGTTAAAGACTGTTTAAATACTCAGGTTTATTGTATTAATAGTCTGAATAGCCTAAATTTTCAGTGGGTCTGGTGTTCAGTATTACATTACATGACAATTTGCAAATGTATATTCTAATGTATACTGCTAGACAGATAGAGGACTTAAACCTCCTAAACAATGTCTTGGTTGTAATTTGCAAAGGGTGAAAGGAGGGAAGTGCAGAGTAATGGAATGCAGCACATTTGGGCAATTAATTCAGAAAGTGTTAGAGCTGTTACTGTCTCCTTTTTAAAAAATACAATTTAATGGTACAAACAAAAAGAACACTAGACTAGGAAGTCAAATTGTTTTTTGCTCATGAATATAGTAGCTCTATTTTTAATCCTTGGGAAGAAGAAACAGGATTTTGCCTTTAATGTCCAGTCAAACGACTCTGCATTACCAAGAGCTGTCTGCAGTGTTCCTGAACAAGAGCTGAGCCTGTGGGAAGCAATTCTTACCACACCTAGTGATGAAAGGTTTGGGCTTCAGAGTGAAATTTGGCTCTTTCACCTGAAACTTAAATCACTGCACACATTATGGGGACACGTGTCTGAATTTAAAATGCTTCTGTGCAAGAAACCATTTGAGCACAGGTATATGACTAAATATATGGGAAGTCATTAAGGTTACCTGTCCTCTGACACCAAGTCCAGTAGGTTTATGCTCCATATTCCACAGCAACAGATTTTTGAAGTATCTGCACTGATGAATGAAACCAATATCCTTTGTCTAGAAAGGAAAAGTCTTCAATCTACACTTAATAAAACATTGTAGCCTAAAATTGATGTATTTAATCAAATTCACTTTTCACAACAATAAGGGAGTTTTTTACACTTAGGAAGACTGAAGCAACAGTGAATGATTCAAGAAAACTGAACAATACTGAAAAATGGTTATGATATGAAATTAAAACCTAAGGCTAATTCCTTTAAAAGCAATAAGAGGGTTTATACATTTGCAGAAAAAGCAATGATTCTGCAAAAATTTAAGCAACAGAAAAATCCCTCCACTCCTTCTGTAATCTACTTAAAGGAATTTTCCTGTCCCATGGTTTGTTCTACATCAGGAAAAAAGCTCAAGCAACTTAGTGTAAATGTGTTTGATTTTCAGAAACTTTTCAAGGTGTTTGGGGGAAAAGAGAACATGCAGTTATTAAAAGTAAAATTGCTTTCTCAAACATCAACAAAGACAACATGAGAATTAGAGATGTAATATTAATGAATTATAGTCGCCATTTCAAATATTTGTATGCATATATAATCACATTTGGTAGATTTTGGTATATTACTGGAGAGATTTAAAACATTCCACTAAAATATCTTAATGCTCATTTTATGACAAAATATTTAATTCTTTCAAGTTTCCCACTGTATTTCCTGGGGAATGTGAACATCTTTTTCAATCACAGAGGGAAAAGCTCATTTGTGTTCCTTGGTGCTGTTTCCTCCTTGAAAACCTAGAAGGGAAGTGCTCTGTTCTGTTTTCTAAAGGAAACATGATGGATGATCTGTCACAGGATATATGATAGCACGGGAAGCCAAGGTAACAGCAGAAACCCTCTAATGAATACATTTGTCTATTTTGGGAGATGAAGCTGTGAAAGTTCAGGTTGCAGAGGTGCAGCTGTTTCTCTGCTGCAGTGAGCAGCAAAACCCCTCAGAGGAAGAGTTTTGAACTGCTGCTGCTTAAGTCATTATTCAAAGCTTATTTATTAAGTAAACTTTTTGCATGAGGCTTAACAAAGAGTGCTGATAAGCACACTGGCACTGACCAGTAGCTGCCACTGTCTTGTTTTTTTAAATACATCAGTCTTAACTGAGGGGGTTTTTGATTCAATTTCAATTCAAGTCAATGTGCATTTTCAGAAATATAATCCATGTCAAATAGTAGCTACACCAACAAGAATTTTGGTCACAAATGCATAAAAGGCCATGAATATTATACTGAATGAGTAAAATTATGCTTCTGATCCAGAGGAGGGCAATCTAGCCCTAAAAAAAAATAGTTAAAACCCAACCCAAACCAGATTTTAAAACCCCTATCAAAGCAATGAACCAGAAGAGTTCACTGCTCTCCTAAGGTTGGCTATTTTTGTCTAACATACCAGCACTGATTTATACCACAAAACATCTTTAGTTTTCCATAGTTTAGAGGAAAACAGCGTTGTTACAAGCCACCCTTTTTATGGGAAAAGGAAATAAGTTAGTATCAGGAATTATGTTTGCCACACTCTTCTTCATATCCCAAAGAAACTTTAGTGCTCATTATTGCACCACTGAAGTGTAATGGATTCTAACTGACACCAAAAACCCCAACAGTGTTTTCTGAGGTGTTTTCCTGAGCAACAACCCTAATGGCTGCTGGTCACCAGGTTTGACTGTGCTTTGTATTTAATTGGTATTGTCTGTCAAATCTTGAATTGTTATAAAAATCTAATTTTTAGGTTAATGAAGTAAAAATAGGGAAAATATAAGTATATTAAGAATGGTAAATGCATGAAACTATTACAAACTTCTTAATTCTCCATCAACTACTTTGTTAGCTTGAAATATATTGAATACCTTGTTGCTAAAACTGAATTTAAATTCAAGTAGCTTTTAATTTATTTTGTTCTTCTTGTTCAGCTCTTGAATACTCACCCTACTGGTTATACTGAGGAAAAGAGTATTTAATAACGTTTAAAAACCAGAATTTAGAAAAAAACTTGTCTAAAAATGTAAAACGTGAGACTTGAACTTGTAAATCTATCCAAGTATTTGCAATTACTTGTTTGACATTTGCAAGGGCTGAAACCAAGAATGCCTTCACAATGCCTCAGGGTCCAAGGATGATCCATTCCTCAGCGTGTCTGGTCTTGTCCCAGAGATGAGATAAGTCAAACAGGTTCTCAAACTTCAGTTTTATAAGACAAAGGCCATTATACTCCAACCAGCAAGGGAAGAAAACTACTCACTGCAGCTGTGGATCTCAGTGAGCTGGCTAAGAGAAAGAAAGTAATGCCCAATCCAAGTGACTCCAAAATCACTGTAGTAGGAATGGATATTGCTAAATATTTGTACTGTGTTGTGCCTGACACAACTGTATTCCCAGAAGCACGAGGAACACGGATCTGTGACTCAGTGTTCAATAAAAGGTTTTAACCAGTAAAAATTCCAGTACTTACAGGTCTTACTTTAATGCTCCTGGGAAAGTCCCTCAGTTATGTCTCACTGGACATATGGAACTTCTGTTACTGTTAACAACAGAGGAAAAATGAAAAGTGCACTGTCATGGTGCTTGCTGTTAATGCTCTTGCTGAAATGACCTGGACAAGATAAACCTTTATTAGATTTATTCATAATGTGCTATAGTTTTTATCTTTTATATCCCAGTGGGCCTGTGATAATAGTTTATCAACTTCTGCTAAGATAACCAATTCTTTCCTTAGTTTTCAGATGTTGGACTAGGTGTGTCTTAGGTAGTTCACTCTTTTCAGGATATTAAAAACACCATGATTAATTCTTGCTTGAACACCTTAAGTTCTCCACAATTTAAGAACTACATTGTTTAAATAAAAATAGTACTGAGGTTTACTTACAACTTTATATATTTAGCAACCAACACACCATTTGAAGAGAAAGAAATTACAGAAATTGAAATGCAGTGGTCATGGTAATCTGTTTAATAAATTAAGACAAAATATTAAATATTTGCAAGAAATCAATACCAAAAAATCAAAATATTTTACTTTAAATTGTAACATAAAAAGATAGATTTGATTCAAATCTATATTTATCCTTCTAAAACAATCAGCATTTTGTCTTTGTTGCTAGTGCAAGTCATTAGCTCAAATCCCTGTTAAATTACAGATCAATTGAAAAGTTCTGAAACATCAAACAAATTTGATCCAGAAGTAATTCTGTAACAACAGATTTTAAACTAATTTCATTCTTTACCTTAAATTAAACATCACAATACCCCTATCACATTCTAAGTCAGGTGTCTGCCTTAATCAGAGATGAACAAAGCATGGAAAGCAGCAAAGACTTTTTTGTAACAGCAAATGCAGTGAACAAGCTCAGTGATCACAGGTGGGAAGCAAATTTGATATCCTGAAGTTGGATTCCAATGAGTTGGTGTACAGACTATGAGCAACTGTATCAAGCAGTGAACAATGGTGAGGGCAACCTTCATGGTGGAGTCTCCAAAAGGTTTGAAGAATCCCAATATAAAAAGAAAGGGCTCAGTTCTGCCAAGTGAGTATTTCTTCATCGTGTTGATACCATCAAAAGGAAAAAAGTGCCTGTCCATTTGCAGCATTGCACAGCAGTCTAGTAAAACAACTCCCACAAAATATTATTTTAATGTATTATATTATTTTAATGAGATCTGAGCCTAAAATTGCTCAAAGATAAATTAATTTCTTGTTTCCAGGTGCAGTGTAGCCTCTGAACAAATATAACAGGATAAAGTTATGCAAAAAATGTTATGTTTCTGTCTGAACATGTTTTAGCCAGCAATATAAGTAACATGAACGTCATTAATATTTTCTTTTCTGCCATGCTTGTTTGCCTGTGCATGTGACAAGGCTTTGTGCCATGGCTTTTATGTGTGCAGGTTTACAACCTTCCCCACACAGAAAGCTCACCAGGAAACTGTGGCAGGAACTCTGGGGGGTGTGCTGTGTGCTGGCGCTGAAAAATACTTTTAACACAAATGTGGTCCATCTTAAAAAAGGCCACAAGAATTGTCTTTTTCAGTCAGTTAGCTTCACATGGGTAAAATCTCCACTCATATGGACATTACTCAGCATCTTTCCAAATAGTCCAGTCAGCTGCTCTATAAATGGATAAATGCTTAAATGTGACCTAGGCAAGACTAAAGACTGGACATCTGTTCCCTAGGGAGAGTCATGACACAGGATAATAAAATACTGGCTACATCTAAAAAAGTACCTGCCCAAAGTTTAGACAAAATCAAACTAAAAATGACTGAATTCTTTTTTACACTTACAAAGAATAAAACCAGAATATTCAGAAAGAAAATTCTTGAGAACGAAAGTTATTTCTCTAATAAGCAGCACAGATTTTAAAGTTGCCAGGATGTCCAAACTATTCCCAACCAAAGGCTAATTGGCACCTTACTGGACTCTCCAGAGGACCCCCCAGATCAGCAGCAGTACAGAACAGACAGCTCCCACCCTCCCCAGACCACAGAGCAGTGCCCCTCTCTGGGAAGCTGATGTTTGCATTGAGGCTGCTTGGATTTGCCATCTCTGTATCAGCATAACCACCCCCTTCTCCTCCTCCTCCTCCTCCTCCTCCTCCTCCTTCTCCTCCTCAGCACTAGGAACAGCCGGTGCTCATGAGTTACTCTTTGCTGCCCTCCACAGAGCCGGTTTCTCAGTGAAATGTGATTCTCTGCGCTTCCTGTGAGAGCCCCAGCAGCCGGAATCTCTCGGCTGGAGGAGTGGCAAAATAGGTTTTTTGCTCTTCCGAGTACCTTTCCTTCACTTCAATGATGTCCCTGTAGCGGCCATCCTGCCAGTGGAAATTAAACTGCTCCAGCAGCTCAATCCTTTTCTCTTCCGTGCTCACACAGTCAGCAGGGGCAGGCTGTTCCAGGAATGGCACCTGAATGTCTGGGAAGAGCAGGAGACCCCGGATAGCAAACCAGCCGCCATACTTGGGATGGATACAAACGCCAAAGATCTTCTGGAAGAAAAAAAAATATCTAGGCTTTCTTACTTTGTGTCTAATCAGGGTTAGAGTTCAAAGCATCAGATACTTCTCACTCTCCCAACCTTCTCTTGGAGTGCTGTACAGAGGAGAAGGGAAAACTTTCCTGAACTTGTGGCTTGAAGCACTACATTTCACTCCCATTCTCTTGTGCCCACACACACCTCCCTGGAATGTGGGGAGAGGTTCCTTCCTGAAAATCTATTACAGAAATTAACCACAGAGCATTTTTCCCCCCAGTTTGTAATGCTCTAAGCAACAGGTTTTCCTTTACACTGTCATTTATTTTTCTACCTAAGTAGGTTTAACAGATCAAGGTATTTCTCTCCATGCACATCTCCCTACTACCTCGAAGAATCTTGGAAGTTTCCAATTTCCACCTGAAACATTTTATGAACCTGTATGTGCTCTGGACTTTGTAGTTTCCTGCAAGATGAACTAGTGACTAGTGAGCAAACAAGCATTGTAAAATTCAGTGGTTCTTCCCAGACTGTTTCTGCCTCACCTTTTTGCCCCAAGGATCACGCTTCACATCCTTCCTTTGGTAGTAATATGCAGCTCCAGCAACGTGGGCAGCTGTCTGTGCCAGGAATTTGGGCTTTCGGCTCGGCAGCATCTCATAATCGAACATGACATCCATCCTCTGGTCAGGGAATTTCTGGGAAAATTTGAAAACATCAGCCCAGGCTCATGGAAAAAGCTATGAGTCTGCAGACACATGAGAAGCCTGCAGACTCCCACATCCTGCTGCTGAATTCTATCGGCACGTTTGAGGCTGTGGGCATTCAGCCTGTGCCTGGAGAGCTCCCTCACAGCTGCAGGATGTAATCCAGAGGCAGAACATGCAAGTAAAGCAGCCAAAGCCTGCTGAATCTCCCACCTTCATGAATAATGCTTCACCCTTCCAAAGAGCAGGGCAGGAGCCTGCAGGGCTTTGTCTGCTGCTCAACCTACCTAGTTATGTGCCACAACACTAAAAGGAATCAGTATTTCAGTTTCTTACCTCCTTCACACGTGATAAGTGATGGGAAACACACTGATCCACAGGATCCCTGATGATTTTTAATCGTTCTTTTTTCACGAAAGGCTTAAGGGCTTTGTCGAACATAGAAGGCGTGCTGAGCACCACGAAGGCCAGTGTGTCATCTGGGTAGGGGAGGTGGAAGGCTGGCTGGAGAACAGCATTGTACCACCCAACCTCAGGCAAAGGAACACAGATTTCCATTAGAACACAGACACCACTCCAGTGGACATGCAGGAATGTAAAAAGTGGAAATAACTGTAGCCCCCTTCATTTGCAATCCAAATGGGCAACTTGCCCAGGGCCTTCCTTTAAAATCAAGTTGTTTTGCACACCAGGATTGAAGTTTGGGGAAGCTGTGCTGTGAGCTGTGAGATAAGAATCACACACAGCATTCAGCTCCAGTCTGCCCTTTATCCAGCTCGGCTCAGAAACCTAGAGGGAAGTATGAGCAATCAGCGTTGCCAATGCAAATCAGATGGTTTGCTTCAGATAAAGCTTTTACAGGTTTTTTTTCTCTTATCTTGGGCCAGAAAGAAACTGATGCTTCTGTTTTGTGTGACAAGTTGCATGTTTTACTTCTTCTGCAGGAAACACTTGTGTGGAATGAAGGACGTGAAGCTCTTGGCAGTGCTAAACTCCCCTAAAAACGTTACCAGTAGCACATGGATTATGACACAGCCACATTTGAATATTTGATTCCAGGGCTGGACATGTTATAACACAGTCCAGAAATGAGAGATCAAGCCAGGGCAGCAGGAACCACGACCAGGAGGACAGGGCTCAAACCTGCAACTGCCAAGTGGAGGAGAAAATGGCCCAAACCCCCTGCACCCCAGTCCTAATGCCCTACACAATAACATCAGTCTTTTCATAGGTTATGACAACTCCCTCTCTCCCGGGGTGCCACAAAGGCCAGCTCTAACAGTCAGAGAAATACTGAGTAATGGAACATTAAGTTTGAAAACGAAATGTAGTGCTTATTCTATATAATCAGTGAAATTACTCTGACAGTGACTGCAGCTGGCAGTGGCAGCCTGACTGCCCATCTGGAAACACAGAACAAAAGCTAGATTCACTATAAAGCTTACATTCTTATATGAACCTCTAAGTTTAATCTGTTTTGTGGCTCTTAAGGTGCTGAATTGAGATGTTACAAGGAATCAGAGAGATGTGGATCTAAGCTTTGTTGGTTTTCCAGTGAAGGGCAGTCAGTGCACCAAAGTTGGCTGTGTCAGAATGAAATCTGGAGAGAGCTAGTGGGCTAAAAGGTTTCGCCTCTGGTAGATACAGTCTTTTCATCTGTTCTGCACCTAATTCTGCTGATGTGTTTTAGGCAAGCAGCATTAAATTTTGCCAAATTCTGGAGGCACTTCTCTCGCTAATTCCCTCACCACCTCATTGCCTTGTACTTTTTACGTAAACAAGATCATAGCAGGGAATAAGAATATTTCAGGTGATAGATACAACACGCCCCAAGGGAAGGGCACGTTTATTGCAGACTGATTTGTGTTCGATGTTCCAAACTGATTTATATCAGATTGCCCTGGGGCGGGCAAGGAAGGAGCCCCTGCATTTACAACTGAACAGAGGCAGAGGCTGCAGGGAGGCCTCTTTCCCGGGCAGGACAGTGGTCAGAGGCCATTTAGGAGCGGATGAGGTGGTCAGCACTTCCACAGACAGGTGCTCCCACACTGAGATTAAAATTTAAGCTTGCCTAGAGGACTTTGCCGCCTGCTGGGGCAGACGCGTCATTACGTAACTCCCCGAGCCCGCCGGTCAGGGCCCGCACCAAGGGCCGGAGCAGCTGCTGCCGCTGCGGTCACCTCGCCCCGCGCTCCCGGGCGGGCCGGCCGGACCCCGCGCTCCGCATCGACCCGCGGCGGCTCCGTGCGGGCGTTCCCGGCCCCGCTCGGCCGAGGGGCGCCCCGAGCTCCCCGGGGCACCGACCCCCGGCCCCTGCGCAGCCCCGGGACCTGCTCCCGCCCCGCGCTCCCGCAGCTCCGCGGGCAGTGACGTCGTTCTCATGACGTCACGGCGACGTCATTACCTTGAAGGCGTGCACCTCGAGGCCGAGCGGGCCCAGAGTGCTGCGGAGCCGCTCCGCCACGCGCCGCTCCATGCCGGCGGCGGCGCGCAGGGCACCATGGGAGCGGTAGTTCCGGCCCGGAGGGACCCCCTGCGCGCATCCCAGCATCTCCTAGGAGACGGCGGCGGCGCGCAAAGCACGCCGGGAGTCGTAGTGCGCGGCGCCCTCCCCTCCGCGCCGGCTGCCCCCGAGAGGACTCCACGTCCCGGCATGCTCAGTCCAGTCCAGCCGGGGTCTGTTCGCTGTTCCCGGCCTTGTGCCCGTCACACCGCCAGGGATTAGGTGTATTTTCCGGTCCTCGGACTCTGTGGGAAAGCCCCACCTGTCCCTGTGGGTGGGGCTGCTCACTGAAACAGTGAGGCCACTGTGCTGGCAATCCTCTCTCCTTCTCCTTCTGAAAGTGCATGTTCTTTGCAGATTCCATATTCCCTACCAATGCACTTGCCACACTGGAGACCGAGCCTCAGATCTGGATATCTTTACCCTAATCTTTATAGCTGTTTATCACAATCTCTATAGTGCTTGTGCAATGCTCTCCGGCTTGTAGTCCTGGGTTTTATCAAGTTCAGGACACCAAATGCGCAAGTTCGTGGGGACAGAACTACCTCAGATATGCAAACTTATTGCTCTGTGGAGTTTCCTTACATCTTCTAGTACCCCAAGATTTCCTCCTTATTGTATTAATGCCTTCTGTATTGGGAGGGCAGATGGATCCAGTCAGTCATGTATAGAATTAGGGTTTGTCCTTTCCAGATCTCCCTGTATTTCCAGCTTGTGAAGTTGAACCAGACCACTAACTATGTTCTTTCTTGGACTAAATTGTAAGTAATCCTTGTACAAAATCTGTTTCTGCCCATCTGCTCATATCACTGAATATCTCAGTCTGACTTGACTAAAAGAGGAGAAAGAGCTCCAGCAGGAGCAGATCCATAAGCCATGAAGTAGTGAAAGTAAAGGCAGTAGAACCAAAGCACAGGTAGCTGCAGGAGATCTCTTACACAGATCACTTCTTGCCTAGGCTCCTGAAGTCCTGTTGAAGAACCAACAGGCTGAGTGTAGCCTGGCACAAGGTTGCTCCATGTCCCTGCTCAATAAGTGAGCAGTGAGAGTTGGATACGAAGCAGAAAGGGCTTTGTATCTTTGACGCTTGAAATAAGAGATTTTTGCCTATATTGGCATATGTCCAGCTCTCTTCTTTTTCTCAGTTGTTCTGAGATTTTTCTGAAGGGTTTAATGCTGTGCTGGACCAGAGGTTGCCTCTAGAAAACACTTGGATGTGGTTGTCCCCTCTGTCTCAGGCGCTAGTTCTGCTGAGAAGCCACAAAGCTCAGTCTAACAGAGCATGATCTTACAATTTGCACAAACTCAGGATGGAAGTGTGGAGCACTTGCCAGAGGCTGGGCCACATCAGGTGGAGGGCATACCCCTTCAGGGAATTTGGGGATGCCCAGGTCCACGTAGCCCATTATGCTGCAGGAGCAAGTGCAGCTCCTGCGTTGGAAGGGAATCAGCTGCCTGGGAGCTGCAGGAATGTGTCACAGGAGGGTGCTGCTGGCTGGCGGCTGCTCAGAGCTCTGCAGGACAGCTCTTGCTGTGGCAATCGCTTCCACAGGCGCTGGATTGGCAAGCTCAGAGATGCTGGGGGCTGAGCTCTCATCCCGCTGCTCTCTTTTGCCAGCTGTCCTTTGTACCTGCCTGTGGAGCACAGCTCGTTTCCTTATGTGGCTCCAGCTTTACTGATGCAGAAGGTGGCAGATTTGCCAGCTTTGTGAGGTGGGGTCTTCCAATTCAATCCTGACCTGAGGCAGATGTGACTTCAGTGTCTGTCCTCTCCTGGAGCTGATCTCTGGCTGAGTGCAGGCACGGTGTTCAGTCCTTCTGAGGCAGCTCACTAAGGGGGTGACCCCCAGGGAAGGGGTGACAGCACTGGGCCTGCCACAGTTCATTTGGACAATGCTCTCAGATGCATGCACAAGTAATTTTTGGGGTTATCCTGTGTAGAGCCAGGAGTGAGATTCAATGATCCTTGTGGATCCCTTCTGATATTCTGTGATTCTAAAGGGCAGCCTCTGTTACTGAGATGTTTGCATCATCTGCTCATTCCACGTGGGTGTGGAGAATGGGTACCTGCTGTTCCCTTCACAGCTGTCCTTGGAGCTGTTCCCTGAGCCACCTCATCTGCCTTGTTTAATCAGGAGTGTTGCTGTCTCTTACCCAGGCCCTCTGTCAGGGCAGTCTCCTTGTTGCTGTTTGGACAATACTTTACTTGCATTTTACTGCAGTGACTGAAATAATTGGCATGTTTCAGAAGAGGTGCTCATTTGAAATGCCTGCTCTAATTCCTTCCCAGAGTCCCCATCCCTCACATTCCTTTCTCCCCAAGCTCAGCTGGTGAGAACTGGCTTTGTTTGTGCCTCAAGCCTCCACTAGCTCGGCCCTTGCTCTCCCCCACCCCTACCAAGGGCTCTGACCCGCTCCCTGGAGAGAAATGAGTGACATTTCAGCTTCCTTGTTGAAGATCCTTAGATCTTTTTGGCTCTGTTTCATTGTACCCTCTGTCCAACCCCAGCTGCCCTCGGACAGCTGCCAGATGTCTGAACTGTCACAGGTCTGCCTGAGAATTCATGTCACTGTTTCCAGCATTCTCTCCCCCTGACAGCTTTGTGCTACAGTGAAACAGCATCCAGAGCATATGGTTCACTTCTCTGGGGGAAGGCAGCAATATGTCTATGAGGTATCTGTGCCCCAGGTATGGCTTTGTGGTTTTTTCTATTATTAGGAAAAACACAGCGCTCTCATTCATCCCCCTCAGGCTAATGCTGATATCACGTGGGATACAGTGTGATTTGGTGTCATCATGAAGCATCTATACAAAAAGAATCATTAGTTCTCATTGTTCTCCACAACAGTAAATGACAAAGATACAATGTTGTACTGATTGCAAGAGAAGGGATTTTCCTTCTGCTTTCCATCCACAGCTCTTGAAACCTTTTTCTGACCCTGGTAAAGAACAATTGTTCTGCATTAGGTAGGAACCTAAGTGAGAGAGAGAGACACAAATTGTTTGAACAGTCAAGGCAATTTGTAACTGAAATGGAGTTAAAGGACATCTTAATTCCTTGTCTGTTTTTCTGATCTTTCTAGCTCTTGACCACAGGAATATAAATGTCTATTTTTATTAGTGAGGAAGTATTGGTGAACACTGAGTCTGGAGGATAATGTAGATTCATTATTAGGTTTTGTTTGATAAAAATTATTGTATCAACTTGGTGAGATGTTTTCAATAATAGAACTTCATTGCACTTCTCCTGTAATTAAATATTGATTCCCTATTTCTTTCTAAAGCCTAATGCCTTCCCTTATTATGTCACTCTCCCACCTGTTAAGCTCTGATTTCATGAGATGTTGTCTGTGCTGTCAACATCAGCTTAAAATGTTCCAATTTTTCTGCATTTTCCTACCGTGGCCTCACAGCACATTGCCTCCCAAATTTCTGCTGCTGCAGTTGTTGGTGTGCTGTAAATCCGATCAGGGAGCCGAGCTGGTTCTAACAAGTGCGTCATTGTTTGGGCTTTTTTGTTCGGGTTTTTTTCTTTTTTTTTTCCCCTGAAGTGGTGTGGCTCACAGTGCTGCTGCAGGAAAAAATTGTGCTGGCACAACTGAGAGAACAATGCGATCAGGGCTAGGTGGGGAAGCAGAGGTTCTGCTGCCAGACCATTCATCTCTGAAAACACAACTGAATTGCTCAGCAGAGCTGCCTTCTGCTGCATGTCAGAAATCCCATCAAAGTGGTGCATTGCTAAGTGTAAGAGACTGTCAGTGTTGTCCTTCAATCAGATCTACAGTCTCTGACCTGAAAGATCAAGTGAAAAGTCTCTTCTGGAAGGAAGTAACATTCATGGTACCTGCAGGGAAAGAAGAGATCACAGGAATCATTTCACACTTACTCCAACGTTACTAACAGTCTGGGATATGGTTTTCCAGGCTCTGGTTTAAAGATCTCATGGTCAGGTCAGGTGTCCTGTTGTCCCTTTCCAACACAAACTGACTTCTGTATGGGAAGGGTTTGGCATTGTGACCATGGCTTGGAGCAGAAATGAGGTGGCTGATTCTTCATGGTTTAAATCTGAAGGATGTGGAGCTGGCTGGAGCTGTCAGTGCCTCAGACAGGAGAAGTCCAATGCTTGAGCATTTTTGCTAATGTGTTTTCCTGCCTGTCATGGAATCTGTTTTCTGCTACCTTGTGCCACTGCTAGTACCCATGTAAGAATAAGAAAATGCTATTAAATCAGAATAACAGCAGTTTCTCCATGTGATCAGGTGTCACAAAAGGTAGACAGTCTAGTCAGCAATCTATCCTTGAACTTATGGCCTAATCTGCTGGTTTTTTCATTTCTTGTAGAGAGAAGCTAGAACTTGCTGAGAGAGGCAGAGTTGTTTTCTCCATCTTTGGCAGAGGTTCCCTCCCCAGACACTTCAGCTCTGATGAGCCTTCCAGTGCCATGGAGGTCGAGGTGCCTGAAGGTAAGTGTGGCTGGGTCCTGCACCCTCAGGATCTTAAGAACCTGGAAGGATTTTTCTGCTGTGATATGGAAGACAAAGCTCTACCGTCCAGGGCATTCCAGAGGTCAGACAGATGAGAGGCTCTTGCTGGTCCCAGTTTTACTGGTAGGGCTGAGTATTAGATGCCTAAAGGCAGGAAGACAGTACAGTTTGGAGAGGTGGTCTAGCACTTGGGCTAGATTTAAAACTTCTGAGTTCTGAGAGCCATATTGCTATGCCAGGACAGAGGTAACATGTGTGTGCCTGTCTGTTCTTTCATCCTCCCTCCCCGTGTAGTGTCAGGGTAATTAAAAGCTGCATGTGAGGGCCAATTATGATATTTATCACTTCCTCCAACAGTGCCAAGATACCATTTCTTAATGTGGCTCCATTTTTGTTTTGGTGCTGACACACAGCCAGTGAGAAGGTGAAAATTGCTCACTTCAAGAAGGTTTGCCTCTCAGCCTCTTCATCGTTTTGGATTTATGCCTTGCTTTTAGGATATAAAACCCCCT